ATGGAGAATGTAAAACACTGATGACCGAAAGTTGAGATGCAACGGATTGAGTCATCCACAGCATAAATAGTAAAGATGCTTCACCGGCATAATGCCGCATGAAAGCAATTATAATCTATAACGCGCTTACTTTCCCTTGATAAATAAATAAAAATAATAGTAGTAGCCTCCAGTACTCCACCACTCGAGTAGCAGCGATAACCACATAGAACAACACTCCATGCCGTGAGTGCAAAACAAATTGATATAAAAAAAAAGAGCATCTCATCTGTCTAAATAAAATGTGTCCGTTTGTAAGCACGGATTGCTAATTAACACTACAAAGTATTCCGCTCCCGCTTGACCCGATGTGATAGTGTTTTTATTTTTTTCAGAGTCACACGTGAGCCAGACTTGTGTGTGGAGGAATAGATTGACTTTTATTTTGGTGCAAGTTAAAGTAGCCAAACAAACTGGGCTGCCTGTCTGTTTATTTTACTTTTGACTTTTTAAATTTACATTACTTTTACACTATTTTTTCTATATATAAATCAGTATATTTACATGCATGGATAACATTACCCTCACGTAAAAGAAAATATATTTATTTTTTTAATCATCTTAAATAATATTAATACCATTATGATCGTTCTAACAGCAGTCCTATGGCCAGTGATCAGATTTGTAACCGGGTATAGCTCCCCTTATGAAAGTTTACCAGAAGTGAAAAGGAAATCAGAATTTTGCTTGTACATAAAACCAGACCTGCGTCACCTGCCACATTTGCTTGTAATCATTTACATAGTCAATGAATGCCTCCTTCAAATGCATCCCCCAACATGTGCATCTCAGCTAGTGTGAAGCGGACAGTAAAAGAAAGTTCTCATCCTGTCCTGTCCTTACGCATACCCCCTGGTTGAAATCACTCCACACAAAGCGGCATGAAGACATCATAAGAAAGTGCTACGCCATCACTATGGCTTCCATTTCCCACTGGCAGAAAAAGTTCTCTTGGCACAGCAAGCAATTTAACCCGCTCACACCTTCTCGAACAGGGCTGTCAATTCTAGTGTGACTGCACTTTTACTCGGACGGGCCCGTCATCAGTGGGCTCTCAACACAGTAGCTTCCAAGGCTAAGTGAGGGTCAGCCACACATTACCCGAACCACCTCTGGTGCTAATCTATCCACCTGGGAGTGGGGCCACAGGGAGGCGGATTATAAAGGGCCTGTCAGTGGCAGATCAGTGGAGCCAGAAGCAGTGGCCTTCGGTCCATGTTCCCAGACCTCTTCTGAATTAGAGACAGAACAGCAGTGACACGGCCTTGTGAAAAACTGCTGTTTGGGAGTGGGGGGACGGGAAGAGGTAACTATCAGCCAACCTTGCCGTCATTAAGTGTGAGCGGTGGATTTTGCAAGGACGCTGGTTACAGACCAAAATGGATAAACATCTTGTGGCCTAAAAAGGTTTCTGTTCTGTGTCTGACCGCTGAGGTTGACCCCAATGATCTGAAGCTCCGGCTGTTGCCATGGTTTTCAAAATCTAAACCGGTAATGGGATGCATTGTTTCTTGGCTTTTTTCAAAAATATATGCATATGCGTCACCCCAAAAATCCCAAATTACCCATGAAATGAGCAATCAGTGTTGCGCCCTAGAAATTACCTCCCCCAGAAATTATCATATGTTGGTATAGGTACCTTTTTCTAATAATTTGCTTAAAAGGACTACATATGAACAAAGTTGACTGATGAGGTTGTTGCATATGTTTAGGTTCAGTTTTAAAAAAAAGTATTTCCTCAATCTTTCATTATACAATAATAGCAAAACGGGGAGGACGAATTAAATTAAATTTACAAGGCGCAGAATGGGATGCTCCATGCGTAAAGCCTACAACCTACAAAATATCGTGAATACTACGTGTGTATTTGTTCATCCCTATCTTTCACTTCTTAGCATATTAGAATCAGATAGTAGATTGTACCACTGGCACATTGACAAACATACTGACAAACACATCAACATTCTAGCCAAAAGAAAATCAATTATTGCCCAAGAATCCTGATTGGTTAGGCTATGAATTATATTCCTCTGTAAAGACGTTCACGTTCCATGTATGTGTGCTTAAAATATCGTCTCAGAATTGGGATCACCTTCTTGTTTATCTAACATGTTGTTCATGTTAGGCATTTTAGTTTTTCTAGAGGTCTGCATTTCTGTAAAATAAAAAAATATTATTGCTTTTCAAGCTGTACTGAATGATGCTGATTATTCTCCTGCTCTAGTTCCATTTGGCAGTCACTTCCTTTATGTGAGTATGATTCTGCATTGTGTTATCTTTGACTGTCTTAATGATACCCTGTAGAAATAAAATAGCACTATAGGAAAATTGCAAGCAACAGGAAATCATTTTGATGTAGCACATCTTTTATTCAAACATATTGCCAGGATTACACTAATGCTGGGCCTAAAAGTATTTAACCCTTAACAAGCTCACAGATCATTTTTTGGGGCTCTTGATGTGATAAATTAAATAGAACTGTGCCTGGCTGGAAGGAAATCTGTGTATTGCTCTTTAAACACATTTTCTTTTCGACTTCAATGCAGGTGATTTGAAGTTTACTTTTAGAGGAACGGCACAATATAACATGCTGACTTCCAAACAGAGTTAATGGCCAAATAACATTCATTAAAGCAATTTGTGAGTGGCAAATGCAAGTTCCTAACATTTTATATATTTGGAAATGAGTTTGAAAATATTACAGCGTCTTGAAATTCCGGCCTGTCTACTCTTCTCATTGCTTTGATCAAATCAGAGGTTAACACCACAGCCTCTCAGACTGCCGACCCTCCCAGCCCTCATCAAGTGACTGGGGAGTTAGAGGGGCTCCCCACAGGTGAGGCAGTGGGTGCTCACAGCATCAGCCCCGGGGGTGCTCTAGCCATGTACCAGTTAGCTGTCAAAGATGAGGACAATGCCATATCCCAGCACCACGGGCCTCACTCCCACCCGCAGAAGCTGGAAAGACGAATCAGAATTTCTCCGCTGGAATTTCAACACCGTCCAGCCCTTCCTGCTAGGGGAAAAGCTCAACGCGGGCATGGTTTCCTTGATTATGGACTCACTGGCTGCAATGGGTAGCGCTTCATCTACCTTCAGGGCAGTCTATTGGATACACTGAGGAGCAGCACGACTGCATTGTCATTCTCCTTTTAAGATTCTTCTCAGGGTCATGGCAGCTCCATGAGTTATTTGAAGGCTCCTCTATTGTGCGGGGCATAGGTTAAGGCAAGAAAAGAAGAACGGCTGCCAAAAGAGACCCGGCAGCCACTCCAGGTGCAACCATTCGCAGCGCAGCATCAGTGTGACAAAGGAGCAATAGGTGGAATACTCCCTGTCACCATCCAGTGTGGAGAGTGAAATATCTGATTTCTATGGATCCGAACGACTGCTCAACAACTTCCACAAATGAGCGGAGGCCAGCACACACTTCTGGCTCCGACACTGTGGCTCTTAGAGGCTGAACAGAGTAGAGGAGGAAAGACAAGGACTAAACTCAAGGATACAGACTTTCCACCCCCTCAGTGGTTTGTGGGTGCTGCTATGTTGCATGATCGCCTTCCATCTCATCCAACGGCAACCTGTTTAGCTGCCTCTTTTTTGTCAGCAGTCATTAAACTGTGCAATTATTCTTGTCTAAATACCTCATATCTTAGCTGGCTGGAGGCAGCTGAACTGCACTGACCTGACAGCTTGAGGATAATGTGTAATTATATTACAAATATAGAGTTATAAGAGATAATATACATATATAGAGACATAAACATGATATTACAGTCATGTTAATGTGCGGGCAAATTTCCTCTTTTGAGAGCAACGTTTTGTTAATCATGCTTAAGTTAGCAGTGTACTAGCATCTGTATACACTGTGTGCTACTGTTCAGCATTTTTTGAAAAGCATGACTTCACGCTTATTTGGTCTCGACTGCAAATGCATCTTGATTCTTTGCAAAATGTGAAGCTGATTCTATTATGTCCTTCATCAATTCTCTTAACCCTTGATTATTACCATTGAAACATGAAACAATTACCGGTATATCAGCTCTCTCACTGACCCTCAGTCTCCAGCCGACACTGACAATTAGGCAGCTAAACAGTGGATGTAACAGGTGTATTACAGTCCAAGTAAATGGGTGTTTTATGTCTGTTTCTAAGGAAAATGTTTCTGTTAGACTATGTGCACGTTTTACATTATGTATGTTTGTGTGTGTGTTGGCATGTGGGTAGGTGGAGCGGACACATCTTTTCACAGTGACTGATTGTGAAGTTGCAGCACCGCACCTGGTCTATTCTTATACAAAGAACTACAGCAAGCATACCGTGCAATTTGATGAGACAAAAAAATAGGAATCACCGTGAGAGGAGAGAAGATTTAGAAATAGGAATATAGGACTTGGCGGATCATATATATATATATACCGCTACATTGTGTGTGTATACACAATGTAGCTGTATATTTGTGTGTGTGTGTAGGTGTTTGTGTGAATGTGTGTATGAGAATCTAAATAATAATTATTTATCATTTATGCCACAATCTGTTCGAAATAGTCACTGTCTTCATGAAGTCTGACGAACGCAAATCAGCCCTAACATTAAAAGTCATAATCGCATTTGTATCACAGAATGAAATCAATACGTAGACAACCCCTCCCAGGCCGAATTTGAGTATCTAAGCTCAGCGGGTACTTAAGCAACCGGATCAATAACATTCAAGGGCAATGAGCAAGAGAGGCTGGAAACCGACATGCGCACATTATGCAACTTGCACATGACGCGCGTGCAGTGGCCGTACTTCTATCGGTAGGCGCAATGCATATGGAAGAACGGGACATCAGAGGTGACCTTTAGTAACTCCCGGTCCAGCCGACGCTCGCTGCAGAACACGAGGAGATAAATCTGCATGCGGCTCGAGAGGAGATTCCATTAGTGATGTGGTGAAGACACACAGTTAGGAGACTTACTTTAACACGGCGCTGTCCCCCTGTCTCACGGTGATGTTGTCCTTTAATACCGAATCCCCGCTCCTGGCCGGAACTCCTGCAGGTACAAGGATTAACAATTTAAGTCCGAGGAGGACGAGGCATTTGCCCGGCGCCGACAAATAGCCACAGATCCCCATCTCGTGCTGTCAATGCGCAACTTCCAGGGCAACTTGGAAACCGTCGGATATTCCGTTTTTGCGTCTCGAGATGCGGATCGCCACAAACGAGATGCGGTGTCGCCTTCCGGAGCCGAGGACGACCTATTAGCGCTCCGAGGAAACGGGATTGTTACAAAATACTGTCGATGAAAGCAGGACGACTAAGGAGTCGCTCGAGGAAACTGACTTAAGAGGAGAGAAGAGCTCACGCCTCTCAGAGAGAAATGTGCACGTCTCCTACGCTTCCAAATGCCGTGAAATGGATGCTCTAGAAGAGGTGCATCAGCCAAGTCTGGTCTGTGTCTCTCTCGCTCTCTCCCTCTCTCTCCTCTCTCTCGCTCTCTCTCTTCTTGCTGTCGTCCGGGTTCACGGTGTGAACGTCTGTATGAACACCCAATGCAAAAGGCTCATTTCATCCTCTCTCTCTCTCTCTGACCACATATGGTCTGCAGTCAGTTCTCACAGTGGTTAGAGTAGGTGGTCCCAGGATTGGGTCCAAGGCGCTTAAAATAAGTGTTACTCAATTTAAAACTTTCAACTCGCACAGCGCTTTGTGTCCTTTTGCACCGCTGTTTATTTGTAGTTTGCAAACTGCTTAAGATGGTTTCCAAGAGACTAAGCGACATGACAAATACTCGTCATGCGACACATTTAATATAAGCGTTGTGAAACATGAATCCTTTTGTTCATTTTTGTAGCGGGGAATAAAGATAACATTTAACATTTGTTCCTGTGATTAAATATATGGAATGCAGACTATTGGGTTCAAATGTTGGGATATCTCTAGGAGTATCATTTGTGGGAAACGCATAGTGATTTTTGGTTGATTTTAAGGTATGTTCTTGTTAGATGAAGGTGGATTAACTTGCTGGATGTTCGGCATGTTTCTGGATAATTTAAGGATGGGTCATGTAATGGTCTTTCATTCAATCAGTCATTCATACTGTATTACAAAATAATGTTTTTACATGCAGGTCCAGTGGGCACTTGCTGAAGTCTTGCTTTGGGTGTTTATAATACATGGAAAAATGATATATATATATATATATATATATATATATTTCATAAATGGAGTTATGGTATCTTTTCAGATGCCCATAACATCCTCTAGGAATACAGCCATAAATAGATTAGCAACCAGTGGCAGCATGTAAGCGACCTGGAAGCTTCGGTGTCTGGCACACGTCAGCATTTAGTCTCAAGACTAAAATGGTGTTTTGTGCTTACACGTTGAAGATTCTTAAATGTATGTGTGTTTGATTAAGTTATAGCACAGAAAACCAGGTTGTATGCACAGGAAAACTGCCCCAAGCTCCCTGGGTGAAACTCTGCGCTGTCCATCTAAGCAAAAAAAGTTCTGAGTATAAAATGACTCCAATCTACTGTCGATCTTCCAAAACCATGTGGCCCATAGAGCAAGCTCATTACTGATTTCTTTAACCCCTCCTTATTTATGGCGTTATATTTGTGCCACAATCCTGAGCGCGTAATTGTAAATTTTGAGGTCCATTGTGATTGGCTGTTGGTCTCCAATCACAACGCTTCCTAAAGAAGATGAAAAAAACGTTGTGATTGGAGACCAACAGCCAATCAAAATGGACCTTCTTTAATTCTCTGATTGGTTGGTTTTGTGGCACAAATGTAACGCTGCTGCAAGTCGAGCGAGCGCGTGAGTGAAACGTCGAGCGAGCGCAGCGTGAAGAGGTGGAGAGAGCGCAGCAACCGCTGCCTGCGCGCAGAAAACCAGTTTGTGGAGAGGGCACCTGAGTAAACTGCGCGCACGGGATGTTTTTCTTTGCTACAACATAGTTCTCTGTGCTCAAAATTTACAATTACGCGCTCAGGATTGTGGCACAAATATAACGACATATTTATTCAGATGAACAGAGAACACTGCGCTCTTATATCTCTCTTCTAGTCTTCTGAACTCTAAAAGCTCTTAAATCTCATCATAAACTGCATCCTGCACACAGGGTCACGGGGGGCTGGAGTCTACCCTAGCCAACTTCGGGTGATAGACGGGGGTACACCCTGGACTGGTCGACAGCCAATCACAAGGCTACACAGAGACATACAACCATTCACACTCATATCCACACACCTACGGGCAATTTAGAGTTACCAATCAACCTGATCCCCAGAGCATGTCTTTGGACTTTGGGAGGAAGCCGGAGAACCCGGAGAGAACCCACACAGACACAGGGAAAACATGCAGACCCCACACAGAAAGGCCACTAGGCAGAGTCCATCATAAACCCATTTTATTTCATTTGTTTCTTCGATGGTCAGGTTGACGAGAACATCAACTGAAAGGAAAAGAGTCCGAACCTCAGCAAACAAGGCTATGCTTATTGATACACGACTGCATCGTTTCTCCCAGTTCACGTCGGTTTGTATAGGGAGAACGCTGACCAAAAAGACACTTAGCTGCGAATCTGATGAGCAGTACTTAGAACTCCGATTACAGTCTCACGAAAAGACTGGACAAGATAATTTCTTTACCTTAAAATCAATTCTGTATGCTTTTAAGCTGGTGGATGGGAGGCAACAAATGGCAATCCTCCGAGGGCCTTGGCTGCTGTTACTGGGAGAGACACACAGCATTGTCCTTGTCTGGTATCAGATTTTTGTGCAACTCTGTAAGCAGGGTCGTCGTGGCGCAGGGGGTAGAGCGGGTGCGCTGGGAACCGCAAGGCTGGTGGTTCGAGTGCCAGCTGCCCCCATGTCTCAAGTTGAAGTATCCCTGAGCAAGACACCTAACCCCTAATTGCTCCCCAGGCTAAATGTAAAAAAGTCATGGGTTTAGTGTAATGTAAGTTTTTTGGCATAAAAGCGTCAGCTAAATGACCTATAATGTAATGTAATGAAAGCAGTCTGTTTTAATATGTATGTTAATCGATCTTGTCCCACGTATAATTCACTTCACAGTAAAAAATGTTCTCCTAAAGATGAGCGTACAGTCCCAACAAGACAATTATATCTGTTAAGCAGATGTCAAGTTTTCTAAGGATTTTACTGCCCACTCTCCGGTAGTATCTGCAGTGAAACACATAAAAGTTCACGTAATTGTCTTCACAGTGTAATTAAAGATAAAATAATTCAATGATAACTTATTCAATTTCTTTGGTCCCACCGTTTCAATACAGAAGCTATCATCCAAAATTACCCTGACTGAAAAATGTATAATTGTATCCTGTTGCATACTAGATCATTTAATTGGTATTAAAGGAACCTAAGTCAGCTAGTTTAAGTCATATTTATCGGATCGATTTGTTTTTGTAAACAGTGAAAACTCACTGACGAGCAATGTCGGTCGCGGAGGTCACAAGGTTCTGTGCTTGGACTGATTTTATTTACCTTATATATGCTTCCTCTTGCAATGTTATCAGGAAACAATTCAGAATTTTTGACGTTTTGTTGTTTTGCAGACGATACTTATAACTATTTCTATATCTACAGTATCTAAGCCAGACAAGACCAGCCAGCAGGCTGTGATCTCTAAATTTAAAGCTTGTCTAAGGATATCAAAACCTGGATGAGCAGCAGCTTTCTGATGTAAAACAAAACAGAAGTTATTTTATTGGGCCTATAGCGCATTTCAAGTCAGCTTTCTGGTGATGTAGTTTCTCTGTAATATATCAAAAGTGATGCGAAAAATAACGATGCATTTGTTACTTCTACACTAGATTACTGCAATTATGTATTATCAGGCTGCTCTTAAAAGTCTCTTTAGCATCTCCATTTGATTCAGAATGCTGCAACACGTCTATTAACAAGAACTAAGAAAAGGGATCATATTATTCCTGTATTAGCTTCTCTCCCTGTTAAATCAAGAATATAACTTACGGTACTTCTCCTCACCTACAAGTTGCACTTGTTCCCTATCTTAAGGAGCTTATGATACCGTATTGCCCTACAAAAGAGCTGCGCTTGTTACCTAGAGTCTTAAAAAGTTGGATGGGAGCCAGAACCTTCAGGCATCAAGCTCCTCTTTTGTGGAAAACAGCTTTGAGGGACAGACCCTCCGAGGGACAGACCCAGACACCTCATTTAAGACTAGGCTTAAGACTTTCCTCTTTAATAATTATAGTTAGGGCCGGCTCAGGTTAGCCGGGACCAGCCCAAGATAAGCTGCTATAGGCCTAGACTGCCGGGAACGACTGAGCTCCTCTCTCCTCTTCTTTCTCTCCTCCTATAAGAATTCACATCTCATTTATGCACATTAATTCCGCTTCCTCCCTCGAGTTTTTGTGCTTTCTCTCCACATACCCAGTAATACAGGCCGAGTACTACCTAGGAAGCGTTGGCGTTTGTCGAGTTGGGAGAATGAATGAATGAACATGAAAAAGCCTGATTAGCACTGTTCAATACTTGTAACTTAATGAGCAGGCCATCACATGTACCCAACCAGTTTACTCTCAGGTTGTTATAGAAGAATTATGATGATGTCTTGTACCAAAGAAATTTAGCTAAGATAAGACTTAATTACAATGATATCTACCTGGGAAGCAACACAAGTCCTGATTATAAGCTTGACTTAATGGTTTTTAAATTAAATCCGTCCCTGACCTCGGCAAAATCTAAGATACGTGGGCTTAATTAGTGAAGACTACAGGGTGGCTAAAGCTCTCGTTCACAGAAGCCCCCTACTCCCTTTCTTAGTCAATTAAGACTGCAACATTTGTTCATGCGATTTCCTGTTAACAACTTAGTGACATATACTATGAATTCACTGTGAGTATAAAGACAACACCATCAAGAGAGAGAAGGAAGAGTCACAAGCATCAAGTGCTGTTTTTTCATCCATTTGTTCTGAACAAAAAGGAGGACAAAAAAGAAGACAGAAATCCTTTCAATCCATGTCATGCGGATTATCTTTTAGACCGCCATTGTTCTGCCTAACAGCGGGTCAGGTACATCTGGTGACCTTGTGAAAGCTTCACCACAAGTGAGGGGTTCAAGCAAGCAGAAATGACAAATTACAATGGCTTTGTTTATTGCATGACCCCTATGAATCCCTCTTGATGTATCAATACCCAGGGGTAGGACAAAAGAAGAAAGCTAAACTATGTGGCCTAGATCAACTACACTTACTCTAAAACAGGAGGGGGACATATGGATTTTAACATACCCAATTGAACAAAGTCATTTAACTTGATTCATCGTCTTTTTGATCAGTCACAGGCAAACACAGCCCAGCTCCTCCCTGAAGATTGTGTTTCTCATTTATTTGACTTATATATGCAGTGACATTCACATAATTTCCTACTGCGTTGCATTAACACCAGGCCCTGCGTCGTTTATGCAAACAATGCATGATAATTAAACATTAACAAGCAAGTATGGTCGGAGTCAACAGACAATCCACCGGCCTCTGACCAA